GGGGGAGGGGCCGAGCCGCGTGGTTTTTGGGGGGGGTGGGGACCTCCATGGACCTTCTCGAAGCCCTCCTTGCTGAGGGAGTCGTTCCAGCTCTTCATGAAGTCCCCGGGGAACTTGTCCTTGCTGAAGACGCCGATGCGTTTCCCACCCTTGCTGGCCTTCAGGGCCTCCAGCATCTTCTCAAAGTTGGCTTTGTTGCTCTCGTTCTGAAGGAAAATGGCCGCCGGGGGCAGGGCAACCATCATCCCCACCTCCATCTCCATCCCACACCTTCATCCCCATCTTCACCTTCGTGTCTAGCTCAGCTCCACCTCCAGAGCTTCACCTCCATCTTGGTCCCACCTCCATCTTCATCCCCATCTCCACCTTCGTATCCAGCTCCACCTCCATCTCCACCTCAGCTCCACCTCCAGAGCTTCACCTCCATCTTGGTCCCACCTCCATCTCCGTCCCACCTCCATCTTGGTCCCCACCTCCATCTTCCTCTCCACTTCTATCTCCATCCCCACCTTCATCTTCATCCCCACCTCCATCTTCACCCCCATTTTCACCTTCATGTCCACCTCCATCTCCATCTCCAGAGCTTCACCTCCATCTTGATCTCACCTCCATCTTGGTCCCACCTCCATCTTGGTCCCACCTCCATCTTCATCTCCCCCTCCACCTTTATCCTCATCTTCGCTTTCATGTCCACCTCCATCTCCACCTCCTTCACCTTCATCCCCATCTTCATCTTCCACCTCCATCTCCATCCCACCTCCATCTCCATCCCACCTCCACCTTCATCCCCATCTTCACCCTCACTTCAACTTCCACCTCGTGTCCACCTTCATCTCCATCTCCGTCCCATCTTCACCTTCATCCCCACCTCCATCTCCAGAGCTTCACCCCCATCCCACCTCCATCTCCACCTCTGTCCCACCTCCACTTTCATCTTCACCTTCGCTTCCACTTCATGTCCACTTTCATCTCTACCTCCATCTCCACCTCCAGCCTGATCTCCATCCCACCTCCACCTTCATCCCCATCTTCACCCTCACTTCCATTTCTACCTCGTGTGCACCTTCACCTCCGTCTCCATCCCATCTCCACCTTCATCTCCAGCCCCATCTTCACCTTCACGTCCACCTCCATCTTGACCTCCTTCACCTCCAACCTCATCTTCACCCTCACTTCCACCTCATGTCCACCTTCGTCTCCACCTCCATCCAATCTCCATCTCCATCCCATCTCCACCTTCATCTCCAGCCCCACCTTCACCTCCATCTCCACAGCTTCATCTCTGTCCCACCTCCATCTTCATCCTCACCTTCACGTCCACCTCCACCTCAGCTCCATCTCCAGAGCTTCACCTCCATCTCCCATCCCAACTTCTCCAGCCCCATCTCCACCTCACCTCCACCTTCATCTTCATCCCTACCTCAATCCCATCTCCACCTCCATCTACATCTCCAGCCTCATCTTCATTTTCCATCTCCATCTCCATCCAACCTGCACCTTCATCTTCATTTCCATCTCCATCCCACCCTACCTCCATCTCCACCTCCATCCCACCATCTCCATCTTCACCTTCACCTCCATATTCATCTCCACCCCACCTCCACCTTCATCTCCAGCCTCATCTTCATCTTCGCTCTCCATCCCGCCTCCATCTCCCTCCAGCCTCCACCTTCATCTCCAGCCCCATCTTCACCTCCATCTCCACCTCCATTCCACCACCTCCATCTCCACCTTCATCTCCATCTCCATCCCACCACCTCCATCATCTCCACCCCACCCCCCGGTTGCTCCTCACCTTCTCCCGGACGAGGAGGGTGATGGCGGGGACACCATTGGCGCTGTCCCCACCCTTGCCGTGGGCCACCTGCTTGAGGAACTCCACCTTCTTCTTGCTGGCCATGAAGAGGATCTTCTCCTCGCAGAAGACCATGATGGTGTCCGTCAGCTCGTAGCCGAAGAGCCACGTCTGGGGCAGGGCAGGGTGGGGTGGGGTTAGACATGGGGGGAGGGGAAGGTGGGACCTCAAGGAGGGTGGTGGTGGGAACTCACGGGGGGTGGGGTGGGAACCTCCAAGGGTGCTAGGAAGCTCCAAGGGTGGTGGGAACCCCCAAAAAGGGGTGGTGGGACCCCAAAAAAGGGTGTTGGGAACCCCTCAAGGGTGGTGGGACCCCAAAAGTAGTGGTGGGACCCCAGAAAGTGGTGGTGGGAACCCCTCAAGAGTGGTGGGACCCCAAAAGGGGGTGGGGGGACCCCCCCCTCAAGGGTGATGACCCCCCCCAAGGGTGGTGGGACCCCAAAACTGGTGGTGGGAACCTCTAAGGGTGATGGTGGGACCCCATAAATGGTGTTGGGAGCCCAGAAGGGGGGAGTGGGACCCCAAAAGTAGCGGTGAGATTCCAAAAAGAGGTGGTGGGACCCCAAAACTGATGGGGGGAACCTCCAAGGATGGTTGTGGGACCCCAAAAGTGGTGGTGGGACCCCAGAAGGGGGTGGTGAGACCCCAAAACCTTTACTGGGAACCTCCAAGGGGGGTGGTGGGAACCCCTCAAGGGTGGTGGGACCCCGAAACTGATGGTGGGAACCTCCAAGGAGGGTGGTGGGACCCCAAAAGTGGTGGTGGGAGCCCAGAAGGGGGGGTGGGACGCCAAAATTGATGGTGGCAACCTCCAAGGGTGGTAGGGGAACCCCAAAAGGGGGTGGTAGGACCACAAAACTGATGGGGGGAACCTCTACGAGTGCTGGGACCCTCCCAAAAGGGTGGTGGGACCCCAAAAAGGGGGTGGGGGGACCCCCCCCCAGGGGTGATGACCCCCTCCAAAGGTGGTGAGATCCCAAAAAATGGTGGTGGCCACCTCTAAGGGTGATGATAGGACTCTAAAAATGGAGATGGAACCCCAAAAGGGGGTGGTGGGACCCCCCCAAAAGGGTGGTGGGACTCCAAAAAGGGGTGGTGGGACCCCAAAACTGGTGGTGCGACCCCAAACTTCATGGTGGGAACATCTAAGGGTGATGGGGGAACCCTAAGAGGGGGTGGTGGGACCCCAAAAAATGGTGGTGGGACCTGAAAACTGGTGGTGGGACCCCAAAACCTTTACTGGGAA